CCGGGTGTTGGATCCGGGTGTGCACCAATCATGATCCTATTTTAAAACTAAGAATGAATTGGTTTTGGTTGTCTTTTTTCATAGTGCTTTAATAAAATGACATATTTTTAAAATATTCTTTCTCATAATTGTTTAGGATCTAGTTGACAAACAATAATATTTTTAATTAATTATTTTTTGTTTCTATAATTATTACCTGATTAATAAGGACATTGGTCCATAATATTTCTAATATTAATATTTTCTTATAAGATAAATTAAATGATTGAAAATCTAATGGAGGAGAAGGATGCGAAGAGAAAATTATAGAACTCTAAGTCTCTAACCATACACGTAAGGAAGAACCTTTATTTAATGCTTAATTATCAAATTTTATTACAATTGTGGTTCAAATACCCCTTAAGGTGTAAAGACAAACAATAAGTTAAATTAAAAGCCTAATGCCTTAATCCAAACCCATTATACTCTTCGGTCCAAAAGAGTTAGAACCCTTTATTTATTTTATTAATTTCTCAATATTTAGAAATATATTAAATCTTAATTAATATAGAATCGAATCCTGTTAAACCCTTATCAAGGAAAGTTTTCTCATCATTTATCTCTTCACTTGCAATACTCAAATTTAAAACTTTATTTAATGAAAATCAAACTCATTTTACTCAAATTAATATATAAATCCTTAGTATAATTTTAATACAAACTGTTATAACAAAAGTATCAGAAAAGATAATTTTTTTTTTTAATGATGACGGCTACAATCCTCGATAATTTCTTTTCCAATACCAGAAGTAAATTTTTTTTTTTTGAATTCAAATTATTGCTATTCATTGAGTCTCAATGAAAATTTTTATCCTCAAGCAATTCAAGTCATCAACTTAGATGCACATGGGTTTCGTAACCTGATGGTTATATGCCTCATAATAAGGTGCATACTCCAACCTTAAAGTGAGGATTCAAATTTTCTCTCTCCAAATTGCAATCTGTTCAAAAAAAAAAAAAAAATCAACTCAGACAGCGAAAAAGTAAGCTGAGCTAATCATGTGCATTAATAGAATAATCTCTCATTGTCTAAATATATTTCAAAAAATTTATTACTTCTTCTATTTTAAAATAACCGTTATTATTTAATTTTCTCCTAAATTAAAATTTTGAGAATAATAATTGTATTTGTTTATAATGTTCTTAAAAAATAAAAACTAAAGAGAGACTTTTTTGTGATTGAATAATTAATTAAATTGAATTGATAATGATTGGGTTAAAGTAGACAAACATTTCTCTACCTTAAAAAATAAAAAAATAAAAAACAATTTAAGACAAATTTAAAATGAAAAAAATGATAATTATTTTGAGATAAAGAAAATATTATTTTAAAATTTAGTATTTAAAAATTTATTCCCTCTAATAATAACCACGACAGATACATATAATATCACATGTCACTATAAAAAAAGACCATAATTAGCAACTAATTTGTTAGTCAATTAATCTTTATTTTTTATTACAAGTTAAAATTAGTGATGAAATTTATGCAGTAAGCAAAAACCTTGTTACTACTGTTTTTAATGACGAATTAAACACCCATCACCCATCACAGAAATAAATTTTATAGTGATGAAAAAAATCAACATTATTAATAAGTTATTTATAATAATTTTATTTGATACAAAAAGCACTAATTGTGATAGAAATTTTCGTCACAAAGGCTATAACTAAGTGATAAAAAAAACGTCACTAATACAATTAAATATTTTTGACGAAATGTTTGGTTATAAATTTTAAATTGATATTAAACTAAAAAGAATATTTTTAGAATTACAACATATATCTGTGATGGATTCTTTCACAAATACACTAAAGTATTTATGACAAAAAATTTGGTCACAATTATCTAAATATAAAAGGATAACAACATATATCTATGATTATAAATTTCGTCATAGAAAGAGATCTGGTTGAAATTTAATCAATTATCAATCAATATTGATCACAAGTTGAATTTTAAAAAGATGATTATACCAATTGTAGTAAGAAAAAATATTTTAAAATAATATCTAAAAGATAAATCTTTGTTAGCGAAGAAAATTTAATAATAATTTAGTTTTATAATGAAATTGCAAATATTGATATTTTTATCAGCAAATAATAAATTTTATTCAAATAAACTTTAACTTATTATTACAAGATTCTTACAATGAAAGTACATATCACATATCACATATAACACCCAACAGTTCTATTTCAATTTCTATGCGTAATTACTATATAACTCCAATTCAACTGCTAAAATAAAGTGTATCATTACTCACACAACCCCATTTAGACATTTTGTAGCCTATATAATACAAAGAAATCCGAACTCATATACATACAAAACTAAACCTCCTACAAGTCGTGATGCTAATTAGCTTGAAAGTGCTACAAAATCTCAAAAAACACGATCGCAAAAAAACTGGGGGCTAGAAATCCTTTTTGGTCCTTGCTTGGTCGTCTCCTTGCTTAGTGCTTGGCCATAGTCTCGTTGCTTAGCGATAGACTTCAAATATAATGATGAAAAGACCATAAAAAAAATTAATAGCACCAAATAATTAACATATAAATCAAATAACCAAAACCAAAATCTAGTTTTAATTAATTCATAATTGCCAATACATGCACTTTCTCTTTGGCTATTAAAGATTACCTAATTGTGCCAAAACCATATCGAACCAAATTGTCATCAAAGCCTTTCGCTGACTATTCCTTTGCCATAGACCTTCATGTTGAAAGAAAGCACACTATTGCATGAATTATGAATTAATGCTTTGAAAAATTCAAATCCCCACCACGCATGACAATAGTGCCATCGTTTTTGTGCCTTATCACATATTTAGTCAACGAAAAATTATTGGTACACCATATAAAGTTACATATTTCGTTATACGTCAACAATTTTTATTACTTATGTCGTTAAAACTAACAGTTTTCATTACACACTAATAGTTTTTATTAATGTGTAATGAAGTGTGTAACTATACATGGTGTATGTATCATTATTCTTAGTAAGCACATTATCTTAGAAAAAAACTAAGACTTGGCTGAGGGTCAAAACAAAAGGAAAACTCAATCATTTCATAGATAGAGATCTACCGATAACAGTCAGTTTTACATATGAAGTAATTAAGAAATGTGAATAAAATTAGAAGTCTTCTAAATTTATATATATGTGTGCAACACTTCTAATTTTTTAGAGTTGAGATTGGGACAAATGAATATTATTTTTTTGTGTTTATTTCATTTAAAAGGATTGAATAAAACTTTTTTTTTTTCAAATTCAATAACATTTTAGAGGAATAATAACACAAATTGATTTGAAAAACGATAAACAAGGAATTTGATTATTAAATCAAAATTAATTTTGATTACCTTAATAGATTTAATTATGTAATTATATCAAATATAATTATTTCTAATTTCTAATTCTACAAAAAGTAAGATAAAAGATAAAAGTAAGATAAGAACATCCTAGTGAAAAAGATAAGTACATAAAAAACTTTTAGTAGAAACAATAAAACGAAAAAAAAAAAAAAAAAAAACCTTTACAATTAGCAACATAAAAAAGGAATAAGGATGCACGTGGATAATATCTGTAAATTTAAAATATTGTTATTTGTAAGAGCCTATGGTAAGTACATATAGAAAATAAAAATATTATTTTTACAAGAAAGTTGAGTTCATTTATATTTTGAGAATAGTGCCTATTCATTTTATCTCTTAAGATTATGAGGAAATTATTCAAAAACTACATTATTTCAATAAACCCCATTGAAAAGAATTAAAATAACCTATTTTTAAAGTATAAATTAGAGCATTTTTTTTTATTTCCTTTAGTGTTTTATTGAAACTACATAATTTTAAGATAATTTTTCTCATAATTTTTAGGAGGTAAATGTTGATAAGCACTAACCCATTTTTATATAAAAATTAAAATATAAAATTGAAATTTTTTTTCTTACTCCACTTTAAGAATTTATATTTATCTAATATAAAAAGAATTCATTTTTATAAAATTAAGAGTTCGTCCTTGAGATTGTAATTCATTTTTTTAATGGCTTTTAGTTTGAATTGTATAATAAGAAGTAATCATCTCTCATCAATGAGTTCATCCCATGTTGCTAGTATGTTTGGGTTGAGGGGAATAGTGGGGAGAGGTGAGGCGGAAAAAAAAATCCTTATTCGGTTATCAAAAAATTTAGAGAGGAGAAGGAAACTTCCCTTTATTATTATTTTTTTTAACTTTAGTTACTTATCCAAATAATAGGAAAGGAGGGGAGGGAAATGGAAGGGAAGGGATGAGGGGAGGGAAATGGAAGGATATAATTTCCCTCCCCTCCCCTCCCTCCATAAACATAGGGCACATATTATGTAACTTAAACTTAGATAATTATACTTTCTTTATAAGAAAATTACCATTAAACTGACTATTTTTAACTTTTTATTTGAATTATCAATTCAACATTTAGACTCAAATTCGAAGAACGTTGAATGAGAATTCATCTCACCAACGAACTAATATAATCCTCATAAATTAATTATAGATATGCTAATAAGTTCCTTCTATGATCATGTATATAAATATATTTATATAGAAATTGATACAAACACCATCCTCTGGTTTAACACATTTATTAAAAAATTATTATTTTTTAATCCAAAAATAAAGACAAAAACTTAAAGATATAGACATGCATACAATATGGAGAAACCAATTGAATCAAGCACACTTATATTGTATTTTAATGACTGAATCAATTAGATGTTGATATGTTTGTTGAATCAAAATGTATCTGAATCATTTTCCTATTTATATAACCCTCTTAATTCATAAGAAAAATGAATTTTCTAAATGTCCCTCTCTGTCCACCTAGAGAGACATTACGATAGGATACAAGAATTATAGTTTTTGCTTAATTTTGGTGGTTTATATCTGTCTTTTATACACATCTTGATACGTATATGAATCAGTTCTGGAGGCTGCCGATTATAATGGTCAGGGACCTACACAAGTGAGAAGTGCTTGCAATAAGATTAATAATTTTTTAAATTCCTTTAAACTTAAATTA